TTGGCTTATCAAAATGAACTCTACAACCCCTACTTATCAGGGAGCTTTCAACTCCAATTGTGAAAAATTGATCAGACTGCCGTTCTTCCAGGTGTCAAGGTCAAGACAGACTTCTGGAATGAGTTGACCTAGAAATGAATCCAACTCCCAACCCAAGGTTTTACTTAGATTATATATTATTTTTTTGTAATGCAAGTTATTTCAATAATATATGTGTAACAATTATTTTCCAAAGATGATGGTATCCTCTCCAACAAAGAAAGTACAAATATAAAGTGGATGGTGGGGGCATGACAGAAAAGGATATTTCAGCATGAAAGTTCATTCACTCAATGAATCATATAATGGATAGGCCAAGAAAGTTATGTATAAACCGAAAACATAAACACTGATGATTGACCATTTCCATTCAAAACCATATGGATTAGTTGACATGCCACCCATTTGTGAAGTAATGGAATTTCTATCTTGAGAATCCATGAAAATGAACAAGCTTTAGTTATCAAGAAATTACTTGCAGCTTGAGGAAATGAACTAGCCATTTGACGGTGAGAACCAATAAGCCAGTATAGAGAGACACAAATTAATAATAGCAACAATGTTATTAATTCAAATTAATAAAAGCATATCTAGAATTCTAGTTCATAATTCAATAAGTGGGATAAGTGATTGAACATTTAAATCAATTAACTATGAAAGAAATTGAACTATTATGAAAATTCTCAGCTCCTCTTTTTTGTATCTTCTTGTTAACATTTTTATGAAATTGAGTGAATTTCATATTCAAAAGAGGAAAAAGAACACCCTTGAATCCCGAAAACTTGAGCTGGATAACTAGTTAAGCACGTGAACCACCTTTCAATCCCAAAAACTTGACCTGGATAACTAGTTAATCTCCTGGACACCTTTGAATCCCGAAAACTTTATCTGGATAACTAGTTAAGCACCACCCCCCAAAAGAAAAACAAAAGAAAAAAGAAAAAAACCCGCAAAGATTTAAAGAATCTAGAACTTGGTAATCTGTCATATAGATCCAACCTTAATGAAAGGCAAACTCTCAGAGGTAGTGAAAGGCAACTTTCGCACTTGAAATAAAAAAAAAAAGATACTAATTTCTATAACAGAGAAAAGATCGGAGGCGCCGACCTTTGAGGAAATTGTTGGAAGCATGGCATTACGTTCTCGTACTAGGCTTCCATCCCTCCAGAAAGTCAAGTTAGCCCGTGGTAGCATCAATCCAGGATCGGTACACCTACACTTGACATCTGGACCAATTTTCTCTATCACCTCGAACCGCACCATTCCACCATCAACAAGAAGTTCATCCCCAACTTTCACATCTGTATCAAATCAATTGTAGGTTTGAATTAGGCTAAAGATTTATAGTTCCTTGCAAAAAAAAGTAGGAATAATATTTTCCTTCAAATAAGGATAGCATTACCCTCAGCAAAACCATCATAATTCACATTGATGGTGCGTTCTGGTCGGGGCAAATCGAACGCTCGCACACTAAAAGTCCATATTTCACCATCCTGCACACACACATCCAACAACTCAACGAATCGCTACCGAATTTTGATCTCAGTGCACATTTAAATAACACTAATAAGCAAAGTCATTTTGCAGAACATATAATAATTTAATGAATTAATGCTTCAATTTAATTCACAAAACATCCATAACAACAACATAATGTTAGTGAATTAGCCAAAATTGCAATGTTACCTCAGCTTTAGCAGAGGAAGCACCACCAAGATCGCCCATATGAATCTCACTGCCTTCAGTATCCATCATAATAGCAACAGCAAAACCTTTCTCTTCATTCAATCTCCTCACTCGCTCAATTACTCTCTTATGCCACTCACGCGTCCCATGACACATGTTAATTCGTGCAACATTCATGCCTCCAACAGCCAACGCCTGCAATTCCTCAAATCCACACGTCGCTGGACCGATCGTGCACACCAGTTTCGTCCTCCTTGTGCTCCTGAACCCATTCTCCTTCAACTCCACCTCCGTCACTGCATCAACATCGATCGAGCTCGAGTCGGATAGAAATGATTGCGACGGTGGCGTGCCGTAGTCCTCTGGTGTAGAAGGTAATATCTCGCCCGCTCCGGTTCCATTGTCGGAGATTAGGACTTGAGGAGGGGTCGTGGAGGAGTTGGGATCTGCTGACGTGGAGGCTTTGATTGAGATAAGTTTCGGAGAGAGGGTGGTGACCGGGAACCGGCGATTACAGGAGGGTTTAGGGAGAGATTGTTTGGAGAAAGTGAGGTTAGAGGGAGTGAAGAAGTGTAATGATTGAGACATCGTTACCGGGAAAATGTGAAGTCTGGTGATGACAGGGAGGGAGGGAGGGTGTGTTTGGGGATTGGTTACCGAGGAAGGAAGGGTTTTTTAAAGAGCTGGAAAGGGGCGGATGTAACGAAGCGAGTGAAGTGAGAAAGAGCTTTGTAGATGTCGCCAAGGCTGGATGGAGACACAGGGATCGTTGGTTGCCAAACAAGATTTGTACTGCCTTTTGTTTCCAATAGTAGGTGTTTGATGCAACGGCCAAATGAGGAGGGAAGGGTAAATGCACCGCTGATTTTGCCTTGGGAGTTTGGTCACGTGGTTGCATTTGATTGGTTGTGTGGAGGGGGCGTTTCTTGGTACCACCTGAGATATTTTTGCAGAAAAAGAATTTTTGTTTTCGTTATTTGGTTGTCGGGGATTATAATTGTTTGTTGTTTTTAAAATAATTTTTTATATTAAAATATATATTAATAATATTTTTTTATTTTTAAAAATTATTTTTAAAATTATTTTTAAAATTAATATATTAAAATTATTTAAAAATATTAAAAATATATTAATTTTAAAAAATTAAATTTTTTAAAATATAAAAATAGTTCTATATAATTTTTTTTATCATTAAAAACCTCCATCCATTCCAGAACTTACTTTAAAAAATAACATCATTTTGTAGAAGACTTAACGTCTTTTGTTGGATGATTCTAACTGAAATTCTTATTAAGAATCAAGAATATCATAACAGTTTAGGAATAAATTTAAAATCTATCTAAAAAACTATTTAATGTTTTGAGTATATATTGTCTCTTTTTTTATATGTATATTTTATGATATTTGTGTTTTTTTTAAAAATCTTAAACAATTCATCTAGTTTTGTAAAGAAAATATATTATTTAAGTTACATCTTTAATAATGATTTAAATTAATATAATTTCATTTACATTATAATATAACAACTCATTATCAAATAATTTGATATATATATTCTCACAGCATTCCACAGCAAACGCAGCACAGCATATGCTCCCGTGCTCAGCCTATCAGCTTCCCTTCATATATTATAAAAAAAAAGAGTTAAATGATGTAGTGAAATTATTATAGATTAAAAAATATTTTTATTATGAATTATAATATTAATTTTTTATTTTATTTTATTTTATTATGAAAAGTTTCATTGGTTTTTTTTTATTTGCTAATGATTAATACCTATTTTATTAAAAAAATATATTTACCAAACTCAAACATTATTTATAGGATATTGCTAAATCTAACTAAACTTGGACCATATATAAATATTAGATCTAGATGTACTTCGTGATTATTTTTTTATATTATGTTTTGGTAATTTTTATCATTTAATTTATTGTATATATATATATATTAAATATTTTTTAAATAAAAAATACTTTAAAAAAATAATATTTGTCACATTTTTAAACACTCTCTTCATGACATGCTATCTGGGAAGTCATTAAACACTCTCTTCATGACATGCTATTTGGGAAGTCATTGATGCCATGTATTAACACATCTCAAATAATGGAGATTGCTATTTTTTTACCATGACTATTTCTAGTTGGATATTTTTTCATCACTGATTATTTGATCTTTTTTAGGGGTTTTTTTTTCAAATTTGATGCTTTTCCTTTGAATTTTTATTTGTTTTGTTTTGAAATAATTTCTTAATTGATTTGTTTTTGTTTTTCACAATTCCACTCACAGTTATTTATTTTTATTTAATTTTTATGTGAAATTTCGTCCGGCTTCTTTTAATTACTATTTTTTATAAATTTTTTTTATGGATTAGTTTCTAGAGTTCCATCTCTGAATATTTAATTTCATTTAATTTTTATGTTGAATTTAATCATAATTTTTTAATTGCTATTTTTTTTTGCATCATTTTTTATTATTTTTTCCTTCAATTTCATTCCTTGATGTTTATTTGATAAAGAATCCAGCTTCTTTATTTTCTTGACCTTGCCTTTGATAGAGTTACATCAATCTCATGACACGAATTATAAATCTAAAAGATTAGCTTGAGTTAAGTTTTATTTTTTTAATAATTTTTTTTACCGTTATTTTTTAAGCTTTCATGTTTATAACATCATCTTGATATCATATTTCAGGTCATATGTTTAATTTGTTAGCCCGAGTTAATTGTCATATTCAAATTTTTTAAAGGCTTTTTTGGTTATCTTATTTTGGCATTGACAAGTTTTTTTAAAATATAGTTTTTATGAAGCAGTTTTTATATATTTTAAACTGAATTTTGTAAAATTTTACTTGTTTTTGTATTTTAAAAATATTTTTTTAATTTGAAATTTTTTATTTACTTTAAATTATTTTTTTTATCTTTAAATTATTTTAATGTGCTGATATTAAAAATAATTTTAAAAAATAAAAAAATATTTTAATATATTTTCAAGTAAAAAATACTTTTAAAAAACAACCATAACTATGTATTTTATACATATTTTATACCATGTATGAACCTTAATTATAATTTTCATTAAAAATATATCTAAATCAGTCAACCATACATAACCATATTTTTTTTCAACTTGTTTTTTTAAACCATAACACAAAAGTTATCTCAAACAAACGAGATCATAAAGTGTTTCAACACCACATGCTCCTGCATGGAATACAAGTGTCGTTCATGTCCAGTACTACTGGTGACGTGGGTACCTTGTAATTCTTGTAACATGACACAACTCAAGTACTCAACCATCCTGGTGAGTCCAGATTCAGTATTTTGCTGTCTTATTTTGCTGGACTATGTGCCTCCAGGGAGAAAAATGTCCGCTTCGGTGCCTGCAATATCATCTAACCTCGTGCAGAAAGCCATCCCATTTTCTACACCAAACTCGACCGCAGTAAGAACTTTCAAAAACACTCCATCCCTTTTATTTTCTTCCTCAATTCTAAATAGAAAGATTATCAAGAGGCATGTTTATGGAAAACCAGGGCTTATCTCTCCTGTATGTGGATTACTAGTCCATAACCAATCTAATATTCTGCCTGAGATTCCAGGCAAGAACCCGCCAGAATTTCTGAGAAGGTCCAATAATAATGATCCGCCTTCAGTTCCACCAGAAGTACCAGAACTTCCAAGCAGTCCTGAGATCGAGACTAGTCCACCAGATGAAGGATACATAAGACCTCCAAGGATTCCAGAGGTGCCTAATCCCGGACCTGACTTCCCTCTTCCACCGTTACCAACGGCGCCTGACGTTCCACTACCACCCCCAGGGACACCTTGGCCTCCGCCACCGGATCGACTGCCCCCCAAGTTGCCGCCCGATATTATACCAGCCCCTGCTCCCCCGCCACCTGATATTGACCCTCCACTGGATACGCCAGATATTGAACCACCACCTGGGCCGTATGTAGTCTAATGAAATGGTGGTCCTTGGAAAATTATATCTTTGTTAGTTGATATATACAGTTATGATTTCTTTTCTCTCACGTTCCAATCTTGGAATTTTAAGTCCAAGAAGATGTTAAAGCATACATGCCTCTACAATCCTTGTTTTGGCTGTGCAACCGATCTTTTAACTCCCTGTAAGTGATACTGTGCTAAATTTGTTATGTTTGGAACTTTCTGCTATAACAGCTCGACAGGAACGCGCATGGAGTTGGGAGCTAATTATATAATTAGTCCTTGTAGTTTATGAAAATAAATTAATCAGTCCTATTATGAGAAGTTATTTGATAAAACCCACCTCCATCCACATTGCGCCACCAACAGTGCCGCCTCTATCCAAGGCGGAGCCAGCAATTTTTCCTGCCTGGGCTATTAAATAAATATATAAATATTTTTTAAAATTAATTATTAATTTATATATATATATTTTTTTTTAAAGTTAACAATAAAGTTTTAATTTAAATATACTATTTAAAATATTCAAAAATTTAATAAAAATATTTTTTTTTCAAATCACAACTATAAAAGCAATCACAATACCAAACATTATAAAAATATAGATAGTTTATTGATTAATCTTCTAAACAATTTCTTCACGTGATCCATGTTATATTATGTTATATGCATGCTTGCAACTTCAAAATAAATTAACCTTTCTTTCCTTGGTCTATGAAGTTTAGCAAGTGGAACTTTTATTTTTCCTTTTCTAAAATAAATTCAAATAAGAAGCTTGTGTTGATTGAATTTTAATTAAGTGAATGTAGTTTTTTATTTTTCACTGGTTTAAGCTTTAAGTGATCAATTTTTTTAATAATGGACACGGCTTTGTATATTTCCTTTTTATTGATATATAACATTTATTGCATTCTTGCCTACTTTTCTAGTGGTTTCACTTTCAAAATAAGATTTCATGTGAATATATATTTTTTAATGTGAAAAAAATTGTCAAGGAGTTGGTTGATAAATTCAACTTGGCACGACGTATATATAGTTTTTTTTAATTAATCTTGCTAATAGAATTATAAATTAGTGAATCAATGAAACGGCGACCAAATGATTTATAGAATAATATTTTCTCAAGAGGATTTGATTGGCCAATATACACGGGGTGAAATGAAATTTCCCCCATACAACAGTGTCTAATGAAGGTACAAAAGGAAAGAGGATGTCTATAGAAGGTTTCCTCAATGACATGATACCTTTTCTTTTCTGTGGTTTTAACACTGTACATTGCGAAGAAAGAAAAAGTAAAAGCAAGCAAAGAGCTTTAAACATGATCACCGTTGGAAAAAAAAAATCATTGATTGAAGTTTTTTTCTTATATATTATGATATATGATATTTTTAAAAAATAATTTATTTAAAATTATATTAAAAAAAATTTAATTTATTTTTCTCTAACAGTTGTGTTTTAAAGCCATAAAAAAATACCAAGAATTCAATTGAAACATGCTATCAAAACATATAAAAATAGGAGCTCCTGCATTGTTAAACACCTACATGATTTGGGACTAAAAAATAGTTTAATGCTCCTTTTTTTTTGAGAAAAAAATATTTCATGTATAAATAATTTTTTAAAATATTTTTTTTTATTATCGGGATGTTAATTAATTATAACTAAAATTTACCAGTATTTTACTGTAGCGCGGACTCCAGTGCACTATAAGCAAATTTATTATAGATTGTATTATTTTACATTGTAGCATAGATACTATACACTATAAATGAATTTATTATTCAGTAGAGGCATGTATATGACTGCAACCGACATATCCCAAACACCAGGCAGAAGGTGCACTCTCTGGGATTGTGCACATGACTCTTGAGCTCCTACCTGGGGTTTTGACACCTTCACCACACATACGATGCTTGGATACATCAAGACTCAATTATTCCTAGCCCAAAATAAACTTGGATTTTGCGGGCATCAATCTCTTAACTTTTTTAAAAGATAAAAAATAAATGTGGCTACCTAACCAGTGCAATTTATTTAAAAATAATAGTTTGGTGTTTAGTGTATATGAAAAATACATGTTAAAAAGTAACGGATAAGTATTAATTAATGATGAAGCCCATAATTTGTTAACAGGACTAGTCCAGTAAAATATTTTTATTTTTTAAAAGTTGTAAGTTGATTTCAATTGCTTTAATTTTTTTCACTGTAAGAATATTTTACATTTTTCTATGTAAATCAAATATAGAAAACTATAAAATATATTTTATATTTTGAGAATCGCTAAAGAATAGTGTTGGGTTATTGCGTTCATGATTTGAAGGGAAATCTGCATCTCTCCTTAATCACTAGAGTATCAAATCTACATCATGATGTGAAAGGTAAAATTTATGAGAACTCCGTTAGGACGTGTTTATTACTGCATTTTAAAAATATTTTTAAAAGATTTTAAATTTTATTTTATTTTAAATTAATATATATTTAATATTTTCAAATTATTTTGATATATGGTCTAACAATAATATTTTTAAATAAAAAATATTATTAATATATTTTTTAAATGGAAAACATTTTTAAAACAACTGGAATCATACTTTTAAAAATATTTTTTTAATTTAATGTAAATAATTTTTTTTATTGAATCAAGAAAATAATTATCTAGAAATATTATCTTAAAAAAGTGTAAAAAATCATGTTAGTTGCTAAAATTATGAAATTCACATAATAATAATAATAATAATAATAATAAAAATAAAAATAAAATAAAAAACAGGTAACCACTTAATGGAATCATGGAACATGGTGAATACTCTAGAAAGCTGGAAGGGTCCTACAATTTGATTACTTTTCCAAGCACATATTCTCGTTAAAATGGCAGGAATATAATCCAAGTCTCCAACTTTAATCACCTCAATAAAAAAGTGAGAGGCGCCTTAATGTGTTTCACAAGTCGGCTGGGCTCTATTTTTGCCGAAAATTGATTTTTTCTTTAATTATCTATGTTTTTAAATTGTTTTTTATATCATAAAAAAATTAAATATTTTTATTTTAATTGATTTTTAAATAAAAAATATTTTTTAAAAAATCATTACTACAAAACCAAATATCATTAAAAATATTATTTCATGTAATTTTTACTTTTATTTTTAAAAATATTTTTTTAATATATTAATATAAAAAAATTTAAATTTTTTTTTTAAAAACCAACCAGCATCACCCTTTCAATGACTCAATGAGGCTCTGATAGCTTCGAAAACACTTGTCATCACCTGCGATTTTTGAAACTGGCACTTCTTTACTAGCTTTATCATGAACCTGGGTCCCACCCCATTATGAGACAAAGCACAAATCCTTTCAAATCCGTGAATATCAAAGGAAAAACTCATTTTGAGAAGGAAACAAGCAACCTGCCACTCGCAATCTTACATTTGGAGCCTCCATTTCCGTTTACTCAGCAGTCAAGTTTCCGTAAAAAGCAGATCCCCCCAATCTATCCTCTTTCCAATCAAAGCGTCATCCCATCTTGATATTTTTATAGCCGTTCAAAATAAATAAATCTAAATAAACAAATGAAATAAACCTGGACCAATCATAAACCAACAAAAAGGCATCACCCCGTTCCTCCAATCACACGTAATCACCTCTCCCTCCCTCTCCTCCTTATTTAACAAACTACGTCCACCTCACTCCATCACGCGCTAACTTCAAAAAATCAAATCCACCGCCACTTTGCTTTGTTTTCCTTCCTCCAGTCCTCTCCTGTCTCCTCCCTTTCAACGCTCACCCCAGCAACTCAAAATGGCGGCCAATCTTGGCGCCTACACACGCGCGACTCCACGCGCCTCCCTCTTCTCCAATACCAGAACCTCCTTTATTATACAGTCCCCACCATTCCTTAGCAAAACAAGAACCACCAAAATCACTAGAATTAGGGTTTCAAATGATGGCAGTAACTCCTACCTGGACATGTGGAAAACGGCTGTTGATCGCGAAAGGAAGACCGTCGAGTTCCAACAAATCGCTGGAAATTTAGCTCAAACCGATAATGACAGTGATGATGATGATGATGATGATGTTACTGTTGATTTGGAGAAGAAGAGCGAGGACTTCGAGAAGATCCTTGAAGTCTCCAAGGAGGAGAGGGACCGCATTCAGCGTGTGCAAGTCATTGACCGTGCCGCGGCGGCCATTGCGGCAGCTCGAGATATTGTCAGGGAAAAAAAGTCCGCTGATAAGGATTTCAATAACCACGAAAGCATGGGTGGAGAAGTGGAAGCTCAACAAGGAGGTAAATTTTGGTCTTATGTTTATATTTTCATTCAAGTTCAGTAAGTTTAATTTAAGTTAATTTTGGGATCAATAGGATTTAAGTTTTACGCTTTATATGTCTATCACGCGCGTTTTGTGTTTGCTAATGCAGAAAATATTAGATATTGTCAACTTAAGGCTTCAAGTCTTGCTTCTTGAATAGAAATAAATGAAAAAAGGAGAAGGAAGTATTCTGTATGATTTCGAACTTGGAGCTAAGATGGTGATATCAAAGTGACAGTGGTTTTTAAAATTGGAAAAAATTTGAGAAAAGACTTTAACTTTAGTACTTTAAAGCCAGCCGTTGTTCAGCTCTGTAAATGCTTGAACATAGTCCTAGGAATTATGTATCAGAAACAGTCAGCGCACATTTCTTGCCTGGGATTTTTTTTTTTTTTCATATTGGAAGCTGCTGTCACGAGAACTAATTGAAGTCCCTTTTTACTTCCCAATTTGAAGACCAGTTCAGTTCTTGCAATTTATACACCAGACGTTGCTGCTGAAATAAAACAAAATAAAGCCACATCTCTTTTCTTATGCAGCAGGAACAGAGAGTAGGAGCATCTTGGTGTCTCGACCTGAGTCTTCTGCAAATGGAGTTCCTGGTCCAGATTTTTGGTCCTGGACTCCTCCTCCCAGCAGTGATGGAAATTCAGACGATTCCAGCAATGTGCTGAAAGTTAGGAAATCTTCAGATGCTCCTTTGACAATCCCAGTGGCAATGAAAGAGCGATCTGCGGATTTTCTCTCAATTCCATTTGAGAGTAAACTTTTAGATACGAATCACAGTTCTCCTATACCTCCACTGCAGTCATTAGTTGAGGTTGAAGGAGTAGAGGTCTCTGAATCCATTCTAGAAATGCCTTCTAAAAACGAGGAAGAACATGAACTTGGAGTCCAATTTTCAGCACATGCAGCAGAAGCAGCACATGCTCTTGAGAAAGATAAGGTTGATGAGTTGTCATCCTATGGAGTAACTGCAGATGGATCAAGGTGTTGGAGGGAGACAGGAATTGAGCAAAGGCCTGATGGTGTAATTTGCAGGTGGACGATGACCAGGGGGGTCAGTGCTGACCAAGAGGTCGAGTGGCAAGAAAAGTTCTGGGAAGCTGCTGATGATTTTGGCTACAAGGAACTTGGTTCAGAGAAATCAGGGCGTGATGCAACTGGAAATGTGTGGCGCGAGTTTTGGAGGGAATCCATGCGGCAGGTCATAGTGTTTCTCTAAATTGCAATAACTAAATGTTCTTTCCTTTTGTATTTTAGGCTTTGTGATATAGATGATTCAAGTTGTCTTGCCTATTGAAATCTAGATTCTGATGCATGCAGGAATCTGGGCTTTTGCATCTTGAAAAAACTGCAGACAAGTGGGGGAAGAATGGAACAGGTGACGAGTGGCAAGAGCAGTGGTGGGAACATTATGGTGCATCTGGTCAAGCAGAGAAATGGGCTCATAAGTGGTGCAGTATCGATCCAACCACAAACCTTGAGGCTGGTCATGCTCATGTTTGGCATGAAAGGTGATGGAAAAAATTCTGCACATCATAACAATCTTAAATTTGTCATCATTTTTTTTATTACTAAAACATCATTTTTGATTTGGGCTTCTAGTCAAGACGATCATACTTGAACATATTGTGGTGCAAATCTGTGATTACATTTGGAGATCTTAAATGTCAACGTTGCCTTTGAAGGGACCTTCTTTTTTTTTCCTAGACTCTAGAAGTTTTCTGTGGCATAGGCATTTACTCACTTTAGTCCCTTCTCTTCAATCTATTACTAGCTTTTCTTAATGAGTCACTTGTTTTAGTTTCTTTCCATTTTATTGGAAAAATTCCTCTCCTTTCTTTCCATTTGCAGTCCCAAGGGAGAGTCAACTCTTCTTTTTACTAGCCTTCGGCTTCTTAGCCTGCTTTCTTAGCGCTACACCTCTTCTTCTCCCTAAGGCCTTTGTTTGTCTTGCTGTTGACCTTCAGCCTCTTTCCCGGTCATAGAGCCTAGATTTTTAGCCCTGCTTTGCCCATCGCCCTTTACTACTGGTCCAGTTCCTCGCAGACCAGAAAAGGATGAAAATAGGAGTGAGAAGGCAGTTTCTCTTTACTAAATATCTCCACTCCTCTGCATCGTGATTTGCTGGGCCTTTGCCAGGATGAGCTCAAGCTTGGTTATGCAGGGGCTTTGTCAAGCTACAATTAATTGTCGTGGTTGACAATTAATTGATGTCGCGGTTCTAAACTATGACAAGGAAAAATGTGCTATTTTGCCAAATCTTTTTGTTGCAGTGTTAATTCTCCTATTTTTTAAAAATTTATATGCTAATTGCCCAGTTTATCCAATTGATTTAGACTGTTAATTTATTTTTCATATTCATATTCAAGCAATTGCAATTTTTTCGAAGTTGGTACTAGAACTTTTACCTTCCTGAAATCTTCAACTCTAGTGATTGCCTCAATGATTGCAGTTTTGTTCTTATTGTTTGTAAAAGTGTTGACATACTGCTGGTAATAGGTGGGGGGAGAAGTATGATGGACATGGAGGCAGCACAAAATACACTGATAAATGGGCTGAGCGCTGTGAGGGTGATGGTTGGGCGAAGTGGGGTGACAAGTGGGATGAAAATTTTGATCTAAATGGTCATGGTGTCAAGCAAGGGGAGGCATGGTGGGAGGGAAAACATGGAGAGCGGTGGAACCGCACTTGGGGTGAGCGTCACAATGGTTCTGGATGGGTTCACAAGTATGGGAAGAGCAGCTGTGGGGAGCACTGGGACACACATACCCAGCAAGATACATGGTATGAAAGATTCCCACACTATGGTTTCTATCACTGCTTTGAAAACTCAGTCCAGCTCCGGGAAGTTCAGAAGCCATCGGAGAGAGATGAACAATGAGCTCCCAAATTTCCTTTCGATTTCTCATCTCTTCCTTTGATGTTGCTTAGGAAAGTCGTGTATAATTATTGGTTGATCCTTTGCAAAAGAACAAGCTTTCCACTGAAGTCGCAATATCTTTTTTCTTGGATATGGTTCTTAATGCTATCCCATGAACTGTATGCATTTTTTTTTTTCACTTATACTGTGAAAGACAGTGTACTTGATATTATATCAATCATAAAGGAAAGTGGTCGAGTGTGCGTTCACCGAAATACTATTTTGCCGGGAAAGCTTTGTAATGGATGTAGATTTTCTGCAACTATTGAATTTCGCACTGCCTTGCAATGTTACTCTGTTCTGGCTAGTACTTAATTCGGTTGTGGTCACTCACTGATCATGACTTCTCCTCGTCGGCCAAGAAGTTTCAGGCAGCTTGAAACTAAACATGGATCATTTGCATCAAAAAGCAAGCAGCCATCACGACTGATTCAAAAGCAGCCATCTTCTTTTATTATTTTAATTGTGTTGGCATTAGCCATGATTCTTGTCATCGTTCTCAGTTTCCAAGAACACCATACGCGCATTATCAATAGCTTGAACAAGAAGTGTCCCATTTCTCCATTGCAAACCCAAGATGATCTGAATTCGCATGTGTTATCAGAAAACAACGAATCCCATCTATCTTCTGAAGAAAAATCTTACGGAGTACACTTTCTGATGCCTTTTTTAGTGGCAAACGTGGTTCCGTAACAAGCTTTTACTTCTAAATGCGGTCACAGAACTTGTGCCTTGTCGGGCAGAAACATTAATGGCCAGGCAACTGAAGCCTTGCCATCATTCATGGGGAATGGACAGGCTTAGGCTATAAAAAGGAGACGATTGTTTTAGAAACAAAGATATTAACCAAAATTTGCTCTAAACTAAAGCAATGGTGCAACATGTATCGGCCATGAGAGCTTTCGAAAGTCATTCTCGATTCAGTATTATAATCGGAGAAAGGTTTCATGTCTATAATTTCAATGATTTGAACACAGATATCCTCAATGTGCATTGCAAATCAAATGCCGATGTTGATCCTGGTGGCAAGTGAGACATCCAGCGCACGTGGCTCCCTTTAATTACTATTTATGTTATTTTTTAATATATTACAGAATCTTTTTTGGCCCATTTTAGTTTGTCAAAACAATTTCCATAAAAACATCATTCCTTATTTGGAGATTTTTCTTTTATAGAACACACCTTTTCACCCACCTAAATTGTTCTTAGAAAAATATAGTTAAATTGAAAAAAAACAGTATTAATTTTACTATTTAATTTCAATCAATTGAGGTTTGATTTTTTTTAAAATATTCCTTCTCTATTTTTTAAGCTCTTTTATTTATCTATATTCTTTTTAAATACTAATTAGGGGTATTTTTATGTATAATTAGGGAGTTTCTTTCGATCATTGTAATTCTATATTATCTCTGGGGTTATTGTAATCTAATTTTTTTTCTTACAAATTATTAAAAAAGAGTAATATACGTTGCCGTTTCATAAGCTCAAGAAAAGATAAAATAATTTTTTTTTTCCAAAACAAACAAAATGGTTTTCAAATAAGAAAGAAAAGAAAAGAAAAGAAAATGAGAACAGTAATAAACGTCGCCGTTTCAGATAATTGAGGTGGGAGTGGAGAGCTGAGAAATGAAAACAACAGCCCGTTCAGTGGTAGCCAGCAAAGAAGTACGATTTGTGGTGCCAAATCAACACAGGCAAAGGGAACTCTAAATTCCTATGAAAAAAAAAAAATGTATCTTTGATTTTCTTCCAAATCTCTCTGCCTCCAAACCAAGCCGATTTTCTCTCTGTGTTATAACTTTGGTAAGCCATTTCCCTGTATTGAACCGCCACAAACCAAAGTGATCAAACGCTGAATTTTTATGCTTCACAGTAGTTTCAAGCTCTTGAAACTTGAAAGTTTCCCACAATCCTGACATCTGAGAAATATTTTTGCTTGTTGGTTTTTCTTTCATTTACCATTTCATGGCTTCTTTATTGCTCAATGGACCTCAAAATGTGAACTTCACTGGTGGCATAATCCCAGCTGGGCTAGGTTTTGTAGGTTCAAATCTTCATGTTAGTTGTTTTTCGTCGAAAAATATAGTACCACGCCATAATAGGAATCAAAATTCAAGAATCTTAGCACCCAGATGTTCTTTATCATCTGCAAGGCCTGCTTCTCAGCCTAGGTTCATACAACACAAGAAAGAGGCATTTTGGTTCTATAGATTCCTGTCTATAGTGTATGATCATATCATTAACCCTGGTCATTGGACTGAGGATATGAGGGATGAGGCACTTGAGCCTGCTGACCTCTATGATAGGAGGATGACAGTGGTAGATGTTGGTGGTGGTACTGGGTTCACTACTTTGGGTATTGTTAAACATGTGGATGCCAAGAATGTTACAATTCTAGACCAGTCACCTCACCAGCTTGCTAAGGCTAAGCAGAAGAAGCCCTTGAAGGAATGCAAGATAATTGAAGGGGATGCTGAGGATCTTCCCTTCCCTACTGATTACGCAGATCGTTATGTATCCGCTGGAAGGTAAGATTGCGAAAACACCTAGATTTATTATTTGTTTTGTTTAATTTGAGGCTATAAATAGCTATTACCGTATTCTTTCGTTGTTATTTTACTGAAGGTATAGAGATGTTGTGTCTTTTTTTCTGAATGAAAGACTCCAGTTTTGTGCATAATGGCTATTTTCAACTTAATTTTCTAAATACAATGTACATCAAATTATGCTGTGGCTGTGTATCCCAGTATTGAGTACTGGCCGGATCCCCAACGTGGCATCAAAGAAGCATACAGGGTGCTGAAAATAGGAGGGAAAGCATGTATTATAGGTCCCGTCTACCCAACCTTTTGGCTGTCTAGATTTTTTGCTGATGTGTGGATGCTCTTCCCAAAAGAGGAAGAGTACATTGAATTGTTTAAAAAGGCTGGATTTAAAGATGTCAAACTGAAAAGGATTGGTCCAAAATGGTATCGTGGTGTCCGTCGGCATGGTTTGATAATGGGTTGCTCTGTGACTGGCGTAAAGCCATTATCAGGAGACTCTCCCCTGCAGGTGACGTACTTTATCTTTTAATATAGCAATATGAACTTTTGCTGAGATAAACCCTTGTTATGGTTCCTTGATTTCCTTTCTATGGTAACTACCTTAATTGCTATGCAACTCACAAACTTTCAACAGATCTGTAATTACCTGGATGCATTCTATTTACAATTTCTCATAATGATTATCAAGTATTTTGATTGTTGTCCAAGAAATTCTTGATTTTGTTAGAATTAATGGATTAGTGTGGTGCGGGGTCTTAATGGCAAACAAGCATTAAAATTTAGCTTGTGATGTTAGCGTTTCCCAATGCAGTTGTGGCAGCTTGCATTGGTATTCCACTGTTGTGGAATGAGAGGCATGTTATGTGCTGGTAGATCTGGTCATGATTCTTCAAGTACTAACTGTTTTCTGAAGTGCCCATGAAATCGTTGCTGGATATTGGCTGGTTTCTACTGCTTGCTATGGGCATCAAATAAAAAGCGCAAATTGGTGCATCATTTAATAAGACTGATGTAACATAGCTTGCCATTTATGAACACATATTCGCTAACAGAGTCAAACAGAATTTGCACTGACTAATAAATGGATCATTCCCCACTGCAATGCTCTGAAGCATCAAAATTTAAGCAGGGGAGGATATAGCAAAACCAATTGGGGAAAACAAAGTGAAATAGTAATTAGCTCAGGGTTTTCCATCTTCCTTGAAGTAATTATGAGGATGATTTTCTCCGTCTCTTGTATTAAACTTTTCAGAAAGTACGAGATCATCTTAGGTTCCGTTACACCGATTCTGTTGATAATTAGAAAAGGGACGACATTTCATCAGAAGTTCAGATTTATGAGAAGTGCGATGCAGTAAGGCTATTTGGGTTTTGCATTGAACCAAATTTCTCGACTTTCGTTGAATTTTTTTCACCTGGGAGATCTCTCTATTTCTTTGCTAGATAATGCTCTAATAGATATCAATCCATGAGGATCATTCTTAGTGTGGGTGGTGCTTCACTCTTTGGACAAGACAACACTGATTAAAATGAAGTAATTGTAGACAAGGACAGGGTGACCAGCAAACATAAAGCTTTGTTCTTGATGCATTGCATTGATTATTTTCCGTTTACCATTTTGAAACAACATTCTTTCAAAGGTTTTTCCTGGATTCATCTCTCCATAAGATCAATATAGACATTCAGATTTATGACTCATGAATGTGTATATTTGATACTTCCCGGCTTCTTTTCTATGTAAGATTTATGACCCATGAATGTGCATCTTGATACAGCTTGGTCCAAAGGCAGAGGAGATTGAGAAGCCAGTGAATCCATTGGTGTTCCTTACGCGATTCCTTCTCGGGGCAATTGCAGCCACATACTTTATTCTGGTTCCAATTTACATGTGGCTCAAGGATCAAATTGTCCCAAAGGGCATGCCTATATGAAATGGTGGAGGAAAGTTGGGAAAATATTGGACACCATTTTCTGTTCTAAGTGGCTGGTTGTTTATCACAGTGATTAAGCCTGCTCTCTTTTGTCTTTTATATTACTGTTGAATCAAGATAGTTGAGACATCTTATCAAATAGATCGACGACCCTGCCTCAAGCTTTGTATTACTCTTGGTTGTAACCTTAAGGCCTTAGCGTTAGGTTTGTTATTGCAACAGTAATGTAGAACGTCAACCAACTTGATTTGTAACTGAACCGTGGTTTCTTTGTTCCTTGTACAATTCAACCATGCTTTTAATAGTAGTTTACAAAGCAAAAAGGGTGCCTACTGGTTCTTGTCATTGTGGAAGGATGTGTTGTCGCGAAGAAAAGAGGAAATGATGTATCAGGAAGTCATCACTAATTTGTCTTCAAGTGCAAGAATTCATTTGTTGTGTAACGTGAGTTTTGAATTTCTTTTGCTTAAAGTAGGTCGTGAATATATATATATATATATATATATATATATATATATATATATATATATATATATATATATATATATATATATATATATGTATATATATTGTGACTACACGCATTTGTTAACCATTAATCATCTTTTTCTTTCATTGTGATTTGATTCCACTAAAATCTTCCCTTTTTTCACTTTTTTTCCCCGTTATAGTACTTAGAATCTCAAAAATCATATGCTAAAACTCCCATTTAGCTTGAATGTTGCAATGAATTGTTTGGATTGTTGATAAAATATATAATATAAACCCTCAATTTAATTATGAAAAAGTAACAATATTTTCAATTAAAAAAACCCTATAAAAGAGGGCTATAAGAGATTTCATTGTTAAGGTAGTGTTTGGAAATGAGGTGTAAATTTTGTTTTTAAAAATTTTAATTTTTTTGTTTAAAATAATTTTTTTTATGTGTTAACATTATTAAAAATATTTTTTTATTTTAATATATTTTTAAATAAAAAAAAGTTAAAAATAGTAAGTATGTTAGAGAGCGTATTGTTTGTCTAAGTTGCATGAAAATTATTGCATCAGAGAATTAAAAAAAAACTACTGTCTTAAAAAAAAAAAAAAGGAAAATCCCAACTTCTAAGAAAACAGGGAATTAAATAGGAAATTATTTTGATGAATCCCAAGAATTAAATTATGATAGGTCCCATGTATGAAAGTAGCATGAGTGGATTAACAGTGAACTGGGCCAGCAATTTTCCCTAATGGACATCCTTTCTATTTCCATCTATCAATGGCTTTGCAGGTGGAAGACTTGCCTTGACCCATCATCCCTATTCATCAAATTCTTGTTCAAACATGCATACTTTGAATGCCACATTTTTTCCATCTCTTCTTCCATTTCGTGTCCAGGGAGTCGAAAGCTTCTCGTAATTGGTGAGGCCGAGTCGTCAGGAGTCGATTTCCTTCGAATTAGTCCTTAGGTCGACATTCTTCCCGGGGGAAAACTATACAACTTTGAACGAAAAGTCCAAGTTTTGGACCAAGACCCACGTGAATGCTGGACCTTGTACAGTTCTTTGAAACGTACTTACCGTACTGCGTTCAGCAATGTCGAAATTACCTTTGACATTTGAGCTCAATAAAGCGAAAGCGCGTCGACAGGTAGTCGCATTAAATATGCATCTTGCTTCATTTATGGGTCGCGGCTGGCAGTAATCACACACCATTTAAACAAATTAACCACTACGTTGTATTCTCCAGTCGAACAGCCCATCATATTATATTATCCTCTTGATTCGGCCGAATATCCTAACCTTTTCTGATCATAAAAAAGTATATATATTCAACTGTGTTTACTGAAAGGGAATATGATATAAGTTCATGTTCGCAGCAATTTTTTTTTTCGAATGATCAGCAGCATATAAAACGAACATGTTACGAGATGGAAGGTTTTTGCTTTTTGTCGGAACCAATTGAATGTACCTTTTGCGTTATGGATGCTTGACAAAGTTAACTGTTACTAATTTTGATGAACAATACCATACACCAGGTAGATTAGCCGCATTATGTCGTGGCTGTGACTATTTTTTCTTAACATACAAAAAAAAACTACATGCGAAACTTGAGATTTAAAAAAAAATAAAAGAAATGAATCATGGAGTCTACTGCATCAATAACCCTAGCCAATTTAATAATATTTAAAAAAGATAATAACAATAAATAAACTGAATTGATAAAAAAAATAACAACATAAAAAAATCTAAATAAATTTATCAAATTTGTGACTCGAGACAAGGGATTAGAATAACAACTAAAAACAAATTTAATTTATAATCAATAAAATATTAAAAAATATTTCTAAAAAGAAGAGTTCACTAAAACTAAACCTTCTAAACTCGTGATTTCGGTTATAAAACTGACATCACATTATAAAAGATAAACCTGAAAAAATTACGAAGCAAAATCCTTAATAAACTAAATATCAAGGGATGAAACTAAATAAAAATATAATTAAAAACTATAATAAAAAATAAAGAATAAATGTTTGTTATTTTTTTTTCAAAACTCGTTGATTTTATTTGTTAAATCTTTATCAAAAAAATATAATTTTAATATTCTTGTAGAATAAAAAAATCAATTGATTCGGGTAACCTTACTCAACTCACTCAACCTGTGGTCAAGAAGCTATCTGGGGTTAACCCCTAGATCGAGTTTAACACCATGATCAAAAGAATGAAGATTCAATTTTTTGTTAAATTCTTGTTAATTTTTTTAAAACCCAATGATTTTCTTTTTTGTAAATTTTCATTAAAAAAATATCATTTTTACATATTTATAAAATAAAAAAATTTAGTTGTTTGGGGTAACTCTAGGCAACTCATCTAACCTATAATCATAACATATTTGTCTGGGAGACAACCTCTAGATTGAATTTAAAAAATATAATTAAAAAAATAATGATCAAATTTGATATGAAAATCAAATAATGAGGGATGAATCTAAAAAAAAATAAGAAAATAAATGAAACCAAAAGAAATTATAATTAAAAAAATAAAGATTAAATTAAAACTAACAAAACAAAAATCCAATATGAATTTGAAAAAAAATCAATTAGAATAAGGATAAAAAAAACTATTAATTAAGAAAAAAATCAAATCTGACATAAAAATAAAATAAAATGATAAAATTTAAAAAAAAAGTATAAAAGAATTTAAAGCAAATATAAAACAATAAAAAAAGGACCACAAATAAAATATTTTAAAAGGTTCGGATATTTTTCAATTTTAAATTAGTGGAGGAGAGAGAAAAGAGAATGGAGAAAAAAATTTAACTACTATCTAACAACAACAATTATAACAATATATGTCAGTAAGAAAAAAACGCTATCTCCATATGCTTTACTTGAAAAAATAGTTGAGTATTTTTAAAGATTGGAGGAGATGTTATTTGTCGTCAAAATAGCAGAGATACACTCCACATGTTAGCGCGTGATGTGATCAGCAAGAACCAATAACTTTTTATGTTGGTTTTTTGGTTTTTTTGATAAATATCAAAACATGCCTAACTTCATATGAAAATTATAAAAAAATTAAAGTATAAAAAACACAAATACTCTTAAAAACAAAAGTATTTATTTTAAAATCAAATGATACCTCATTGTGCTGAAAAAAAGATACTAACAAAAGAAAACACCTCTCCCAAAGCAAACAGAAAATCAGCCTCTCCCAAAGCAAACAGAAAATCAGCTTCTAAGAATATTTTAAACTTTAAAGTTTAAAGTGTGAAATCAAGAGAGAAAAAGGTATACATACCCCTCACTAATTTTACAAATATCCCATGAAAATTTTTAAAAATACCCCCAAATCAGCGTATTTTTCTCTTCCAATGATAATTTGGTAAATTCATCGTGTGAACCCAAAAGTGCATTATTGAGAGTAGCTACACGAAAACACCGACCTCTTTAGCTATTTTCTGTAATGTTTTTATACTTGCGAATAATTTAATAATTAGGTGTGCTTGCATACAATCTAAGCCAACAACATTTTACAATGACATTTCTAAAGCAATGCACGGCGGAGGAAACATATTTGTGGGTCAACAAAACGCGTTGATTTCGATTTCGATTTTCGCCGGGTGGACAAGTAGGTTTTGTAAAAGATCTCATCTCTTCATCTCGTGCAAGCAAAGCACCGTGGCCTTTGGGTAGAAAAGTTAACTTGGGGAACCAAACTTTCCCGTCGACTCCTTGAATGCTCTGTCTCCCGAACTTCAAACCCTTACAGCTGTACAAATCTTGAAGTCAAATATAAAATTCATAAATACATCTGTAGGTAAGTGTAAACCTTATGCTACCAATCAGAATCTTAATTTAGTCTTAGTAACCTTTGCTCCACGCAGATGGTTCTGTAATATAGATCGGGTAAAAGAAACGAAAGGTCCACTGGTCCAAAAGAGGGACAGCAGATGGCCTTTTTTTTATTCTCTTTCTTTGCCAAAGACCACAAAAACCAATCCAGACATAAGCTGATTTGACTCGTGATTTTTTAAAGAGGAAAAAAAAATAATAAGAAAAATCTTACCACAGTACTTTACCGCATTGGAGTTCTACATAAACCCAGCTAAGGTTGAGCTATACTCAACATACCCTCTGTGTCTTTACCGAAAACAACGTACTCTCTCTTCTCCCCCCTCACTTGTAGCCTTTTGTGCTCAACATTCTCTCTCTCTCTCTCTACCAAAAACAACTATCAACATTCTCTCTCTCTCTCTCTCTCTCTACCAAAAACAACGTCCTCTCTCTTCCCCCCCTCGTAGCATATTGTGCTCCTCTCTCTCTCTCTCTCTACCTCCCCCACTAGTCAGAAAGTTTTAATTTGTGGTGTCTTTGAAAACAAAATGGCAGAGGTACTAACCGAAGAACAGATTGTTGAGTTCAAAGAAGCCTTTTGTCTGTTCGACAAGGATGGAGATGGTTAGTTTGTGATTAGCTTACGAGTTATATCATTTGTTTGACGTGTTTACTGGTATTAATTAATCAGATATATGCTTGCAGGTTGCATTACCATTGATGAACTGGCCACGGTCATTAGGTCACTGGATCAAAATCCAACCGAAGAAGAACTTCAGGATATGATCAGCGAAGTTGATTCGGATGGAAATGGGACCATAGAGTTTGCTGAGTTTTTGACTTTGATGGCCAAAAAAACGAAGGTATATCACACACACACGTTACGCGTTAGTAACAAATATATATAAATGTATATATATTAAGGCTATAATTTGAAATATATTTATGAATTTACCAGGAGACTGATGCGGAGGAGGAGCTTAAGGAGGCGTTCAAAGTGTTTGACAAAGATCAGAATGGCTATATATCAGCTAATGAGGTAATGCTCTAATCAATTTGGCCTTCCTTTTCATTTCTTCTTCTTTGCAATGGCATTAATGTATATATCATCTTCATTCGAGAATATTATTCTTGAATAGAATATACGGCCATGGTTATTGACCATAAGTGTTATACGGTGAAAACTAATTCAAGATCTTAAAAAACTCCTTACTTGTGAATTCGGTAGTATACTTTTCACATAATTGAAAATTCAGACTTCTAAAAAAATTAGAAATTCTCAAATTTAAAATGATAGTGCTGTTCATGTTATCGAACAATCGTCATCTATGTCCCTTGCTTTTATTTTTATTGAGAGTTGACGTTGACGAGAAGTGGGGGTATCGTAAATCCAATAACATAAATAAGTAGGTGAATGATGTTGACAAAATTGCCTTCCAAATTCTAAAGGGAAAATAAACCATAATATTTATACACACACACAAAATTTCTGTTTTTGTATTTTCATGTATTATAAAAGTTTTTTTTTTAAGTTTTAAAAAGATATTTAATTGATTTTTTAATGTTTTATGATGATCTTAATATGCTGATATATAAAAAATATTATAAATGTTTTAATATATTTCTGATATATAAAAAAATATTATAAATGTTTTAATATATTTTCAAATAAAAAATTATTTTGGAAAGTTAGATAAATCATAATTTTAAATACCTTGTTTTATTTTAATTTCTTTGTAGCATATTATCCTTATTTACCACTTTTTCTAAAATATAAACAATAGATGATGTCAATAAGGTGAGGTTACTGGTGATAAATGTTTAATGAATATTCAAGCAGATCAATGATAGTTGCCTTCGTGAAAAGGAGAGGACACCTTATCTAAGAGCTCGTGCTCTGCAGACACAATAAAATTAAAATGAAAAAGGTAAACCCTTTGATATTGATATTCGGGTAAAAATAATTAAATATTGTACCATATATTTAATGTTTAGTTTACCCATCAATCCGTATGAGATAAGCTGTACGATTCAGCATGCAATGAACATTAACCATTTCCCATGGGACAGTGCATTTGGTTCGTAGCATTCTACTTATTTAATTTAATTGGAAAGAGATCTCTCTAATCAAATTAAAAACTTGCTCTCCTTGTTCATGCTCAGTTGAGGCATGTTATGATCAATTTAGGTGAAAAGCTTACCGATGAGGAGGTGGATCAGATGATTAAAGAGGCTGATTTGGACGGTGACGGCCAGGTTAATTACGACGAGTTTGTTAAAATGATGATGAACGTGGGGTGAAAAAACAATCCCAGGCGATCGGATCGAAGATGCCGCACTCAGAATTCATTGAATTATAACATCTTTAACTCCATAAGAAATTTGCATTCATTTTTAGTAATGTTGTTGCTGTGGTTATGTAGCCAGCCAACCACGGATCATGACCACAAATTAGAATGACCTGAAAAATCACTATTTCATTTTTGTTCAAAGCTGAATTGTATTCTTTCTTTTCTACTCCAGAAGTTGTTTAAATATGTTTTTTTAATGGAAATACGTTTCGGAATATCGTGTGAATGCTGACTTTCTAGTACGTGTTGCATGGGATAAATGCTTCGGCGAAGGCAAACCCCACACCACCGGGTCCCTCCGGCCCTTTCCGTCAAATTGTCTCTCCTGTGATATGCTAAAAGCTACCGGTTAAAAAACACGGCAAATCAGTCCTGATTTCCGAGATGAATTCAATTGAGTCCTTCGAGAAAATTCATTTAGCCAAAATTTACAAGAAAACCCATAGAATCCACCAACCATGCTGGGATGCGCATCAGTTGAACTATTTGACAGAATAGCTTGAAGGGATTTGATTAGAAAGGTTTCTCCCAAGATAACGGACCGTCTTCCTATCTACTCTTTTTCTACGTAGGCTAGAATAACTTATTTGATGTAGCATCCAAGAATTTTTACTGCTCTGAACCATTAAATAAATATATATATTTTTAAATTAATTATTAACTAATATATATGAATTTTTAAAATTAATATTAAAGTTTTAATTTAAATATATTATCCAGAATATTAAAAATAAATTTAAAAATACATAAAATTAAAGTAAAAAATAAAAAAAACTTCACTATTAAAGTTATATCCTCCATTGTTTTATTAAATATAATTTATCTATAATCGATTTTGAATTAATATTATAACAACTTCTCAATCGTGATAAAATAATAATTTTATATTAACTGTAAAATAAAATAATTAATTTTTTTCTCTTAATTCCTCCTTTCTTTACTTGATTCTTTTTTAAATTAGTGTTTTGTAAGTTAGATTTGTAAGTTTATAAAGTTATTCTTTTATTTATTTATTTTTGATTTCTTTTATGTTTTTCCTTTACTTTTCTCTCTTGCCTTTTCTTTCCTTTTTTTTTTCTATTTTATTTCTGCCCAGTCGGCAACATATAAAAGGAAAGAAAAGTTGATTTGTTTTATTTTTTAATAGCAAATAATTATTTTACCCTTAATAAGTTATTTTATTTTTATTCAACAATTTTTTTTTGTTAATATTACCAAGCTCTGTTCATCTTAAAATTTTAAGTAGACTTTATTCAAAATATTTTAATATTTCTTATAATTTCAGCTCAATCTGATAATCGGATTGAAAATTACGTCAAATAACATAAAACTAGTTAAATTATAATTTTTCATTAAATTTCTAACTTTCTCTACAAATTCTGAAATTTTAACCCAAATTAAAATATTATTTTACAAGACTCCATGTAAATTTTCAAAATTTTATATATAAAATTAATTCAAAAATATTAATAAAATTCTGACCTGTATTAGAGCCCACCTTAACCCTTAATATGACGAGGCACTTGGTAGCACCTATCAGTGCTAACAACACTTGATTTTAGTAACAAAACCTAACACTGGGTTTTATTTTTGCTGTTAAAATCATGTTTTTAAAATATTTTAAAAATAACAACTATTTATTTACGAATCACCTTATGATATTTCTTCGAGGCTAACCATGCCCCCCCTCCCCCCCCCGGTCTCTCTAGCTCCCGTCTTCCAGCTACATGGCTGGAAGAATTTCGTATGTGCCTTGAGGACGGCTCTAGAGTCTAGAAAAACAGTAACGCTAATATTATTGATCTCAGAATGCCTGTCTGCTGGCCTTTCTCGAGTAGCTTCCTTTTTTTTCCCACCATGAAAATAATGTTAGTAAAAGTCAAAACTCTCGAATTTCAAACATAAAGCTTCACTACGATTGTGTTATAAATAGAATAAACAAATAATACAATCAATGGCAGCAGCAAAGCTTTCTGGTTTACAATTTCCTTTCCAAACCCTCCAATTTTTGTCCAACAAATTAACAAACAAACAAACAAACAAAACTTACAAAATAATTAAATCAAGAGAATCAGCTAAGAGCTTGCATCAAAATACAGCGCAATGCAAGATTAGAAGAATTATAGAAAGGAAAGATCACAAAAAAGTTACAGATGTAAAAGATTTAGTAATCACTCTTTCTTGGGTTAACTGAACCAACCGACAGTTTCTCCTTTCATCAAGACTCCATTTCTTGAAAAACTTGAATTAAAATGAAATTCATTCAAGAAAATCTGAAAAGTAAAACTCGAAAACTGGGAATTTCTATTTAATTAATCACTGTTGCGCAACACATGCACTGACCAAAGAGGGATGTTCTGCGCTTATGTTTCTCTTTACCTTTAGGAGAAGCCGATGCCACTTCCTTTGTAGGTGAGTTCCACAGATCCTTAGTTGTCTTCTTTGCAGCAGCATGGTTATCTTGTTTCTTTGGTGTAACAACAGCATGAGCCTCTTCATCTTCTTTCAAGAAACCAAGGAATGGTGTTCTTGACTTCTCAGAATCGCTTCTTTCCAGAGCAATCACGTTCTCTTCAACTGACAATGCTCGCAGTGTTTCGTGACTACACTGAGAAAGCAGATGTGGACTTTGAAGGCTGACATCAGACTGATCTGATAAGCTTTCAACTGTAGTCTTGTCTTGATAAAGAAGTGGAGTCTGATCTGATTCCTCACTCCTTGCTTCTATTCGGAGATCAAGATCAAAGCTTGGAGATTTTCGCATCTGTGCATGAATGTTCAGGTTGTCGGGATTTGATCCAGTGCTGAGCCTCCCCACACTTTCTTGTGCCTCATAGCCACCCTTTGGAAAGATAGTTGAATCAAGTTTCTCACATTGATCAAAAGCTAAAGATTTGGTTTCTCTCACTACCTCTCGAGCTGCTATGAAATAGGATGAAACTTCTTCCTGAGGCTTGTCCATTGCCAACTCAACTGCAGAAGCTGAGGTCTCTAAAATAGTCATGACTTCCGCTTGGTCAGTAGAAACCTTTGCAACAAGGAACTCCTCGCAACTCTCGGGCTTCAATTCCAAGGTTAACTCATTGCTGCCTTGAGTATCGCCAGATAACGTTACCTTTTCTTGTTGCTGATCCTGGGACTGGAACAGAGAAGCCGGAGCCTGGGGGTTATATGCCTCTGCTTGTACTGCAAGTGTTTTGGACACCAACTGTTCCCCGCTTTGCTGTTCTTGTCCACCTTTTTCAATGGCAAATGGAGCCTCTGTCTTCTCCCTTATCTCTTCGACAATTTGCTTCTCTGCTGTCTTCTCTTCCTCCAGTTTACAATCTGTTTCCCCTTCATTGCTTTTCCAGTTGGACATGGATAACTCTTCTGGAACAATTCCAAGTTCAGGGACTATCATAGTGTTTCCTTCAGATTCCTTGCAGCCGTCTTCAGAAGCTTCACTCTGGATGTCGTTGAACAAGTCAATGTGGTTGCCATTCTCGGCAACCTTTGCCTCCTCAACTTGACAGCTTCCGTTGCTAGCAGGATCATGAGAAGCATCAACTGAACTCTCCTCATTATTCTTGAAACTAGGCCCGGGAAAAGAATCAGTTTGAGATGCATGTTCCAAGTCAATATCTGATACTCTATTTGAATCATCCATTAACTGATTCGGGCCGTAATGATGCTTGTTAACCTCCGTTTCCGAATCTTTTCTCGTGAATTCAGTTTCTTCAGTAAGGACCATGCATTTATCTTCAGGCACAGATAGTTCCGTATGACAGTTTGGTGAGTTAGCGAGAAGATTAACCTCTGGCTGTGACTCTGAGCAATTGTTTCCATAACAATCCATCTCCCTGGTGAACTCTTCTTCACATCTGTGCTCACTTTGAGTATCTGATCGTCTCGTTGTTGACTCCATAACAATTGATTTGCTTAAATCGTTTCCAACCTCATTTCCAACTTCAACGTCAACTTTCTCTTCACTAAGCATCTTATCTTCTTGAGGTGCCATTTCTTTCTCCGACAAGTCACCCATTTTCTTCTCCATGTTTAGAGTGGTCCCAGAAACAAGAATTTCATCCAGATTGTCAGAAGCGCAGGTCTCCACCAGGTGACCATTCTCCTTAGTGATGATATCTTCAACAACATTTGATCCTAGGATATTTTCACTTGTTTCCAGTGAATTAGTGCTATCTTTCACAGATTGTTCGGAATGATTTTCAATAAACTCCTGTTGATCAAACTTCAAGTCCATAGATTCTTGAGGTTCTGGATCATGTGATGGTGATATCGTGACAAAAGTTGAAACTGACATGATCTCCTGTTCCTCTGTTGCCATTTATAGCAAAACAACAGAAGTTTATACTAGGCTTTACTATTTTTGTAAATGTAAAAATCACTTAATAAAAATACAACATGATTGGCAGGAAGTAAGGCGATCAGAATAGGGTTTCACTGGGTATCCAAGGATAAGCTAACCTTTCTTGAAGGAAGCTTGCCTCTCTAGCTGATTACTGTTTGCTCCAAGAACAGTCTCCTCCAAATCAGACTCTGTTGACTTCTCATCACCTTCCAATTCATTCAGAAAAGAAGCTGGATGAAATTCATTATCTCCATCACCTACTTCATTTGGTTTCGTTTCAGCTTTAGGAGACTCCGGAGTTGGATGAGCTTCTGCATGCTCTACAAAAGAGAAGGTCTCCTGAATCGGATGAACTTCAGCATGTTCTACAAAAGAGAAGGTCTGATTTAGTAAACAGATGCTGAGCTCTGTTTGTTTTGAACAGGAATTTATTTATTTTTTGGTGGAACTAGCCAACAGATTAAAATCACTCAGTTCAACTTAACAAATCCTCAGTTCCATTAACCAACAGATAAAATTCATGAAGATATGTGTGCATTCCATATTGATATTGGTAAGCCACAAACCTGCCTCATCCGATGTCTGGTTATGATCATGAGTATCTCCAGAACCCTTTCGATCATCACAATCTAACCCTGTCACTTTTTCATGATTATCTTTACTCTCTCCTGCAGGAACTTCATGGTTTTCTTCTTTCACAACATTGGCATTAGAAGGTGCTTGTACAGATTTTTCCTGAGCCTCATCAGTCGTGCTATCTTCCTCTGCATGCATTAGCATTGCAAATTAATAAGCATCACAATTACCAAGTGAAAAGCTGAAGTAGATTTCTACCCGTACCTCGCAGTCCAGATGTGTTGTTGTTGCCCATCTCATTTCCCATGTTCAATTTTCTAAATCCTGAAATATAAATGACGCAGTAAGATGAAACATTCAACGAAAGTCAATGGCGAAGGCTACTCTTTTTGTGGCGGTATATGAACTGAAGGGGATTCAAATTCAAAGTCCACAAGTGTAAAAAATACATACATGATGATCATTGTTTTCACATGCCTGTAGCTACAAGCATTTCACTGGACATCTTTCTGTGAGGCTGCCAGAGTGTTAATACTTGATTAAACTCGCTACTTAACTTATATTGCTTAAAGCATAAGCCTCATTTTTTGGTCACCTGTCAGCTAAACCCGATCCATCACTAAAAGGAGTGGCCAATTTTATCCTTCCATTCTCTTTTCCTTTTCTCTGTGACTTTGACATTCTGTGATCTGGAATTCTATACTATCCATGCGACACTGTTTATTAATTAAAGTTCACTGTCGGCAACTAAATGTGCCTTTGTGTATCCTGTCAGTGGCCCGCCCTTATGATGACAATGTGCTGAATTCATTAGCATTATTATTCCACCTTCTAGGCAATCCTAAAGGAATATCTAGGCTAATCCAACCTAGCCTTGCTAGCTAGTTGGCAGTTTTGTATAAATGCATTGTTGCAGATGCTTGTGCAGTTTTTACTTCGTGATCTACAGGTATAATATTTGGTTCCACATTTAGCATGAAGAATCATGTTGGAACCATGTAGCTTTCCCGAAGTTAAAATGGGTTGGTTGTTTATGAAAGCCTCCAAGAAATGTTAGGCATGTGTGGAAAATCATGGAAAGGTTCCCACCACGCAATTACCTCCTCCATATTGGATTTCAACATTCAGATTGAAAAAAAAAAAAAAGGGTCTCAAGGACCTACAGACCGACCCAACATATATGGTCGGTATGGGTACAAGGACATGGACAGAATCCAAGATTAGAATTTTTACCACGCATAAAATTATATGCATTATTATCCGTTGATGATTTAATCCATTTTCAACTCAAAAGATTTCCCTGCCATTATCTAATCATGTGGCTCGAACTCGAGACTTTGAAACCAATGATTAGGCTTAAGCCAAATGTAGGTTATAGATTGGTCAAGTTCTGCCAGTAAAGTAGCAGATTGCTTAACATATATTCTGCCATGGGTGCAGAATAATAGTTATGATGAGGCTTTGAACAGGTGGGTCTGCTATTCAAGATTTCTTGGTCTTAAAGCTTATTCTACCTGCTGGGAGGCTAAGGACAGGTATTTTTTAAGGCTAACCATATTATAGCTTTGCATTGCTTTGGAACTCTCTACCTTTGCACAAGCTCAAAAGTTTGGCGAACTGGACCCCCACTCTCCTTTTTTCTAGTTGAGAGGAACATGAAGA